GGGGCTGGAGAGATGGCTCAGTGGTTAAGAGCATTGCCTGCTCTTCCAAAGGTCCTGAGTTCAATTCCCGGCAACCACATGGTGGCTCACAACCATCTGTAAAGAGGTCTGGTGCCCTCTTCTGGCTGCAGACATGCACACAGACAGAATATTATATACATAATAAATAAATAAATATTTTAAAAAAAAAAGAAAGTTCCTGTGATACAACTTTCGTGAAGCATTTAATGTGTCCATTTAGCAAGACCCCGCCTCAAACACACACACAAACACACAAGAAAGTTCCTCTGATGTAATGTTCACGAGGCATTTACTATGTCCATTTCTATATTTTGGGAGGACAGAGTCTGCCATGTAGCCGTGTGTAGCTTGGAACTCACTATGTAGACCAAGCTGGGGTCTTCCTACCTCTTCCCCCTACTTGCTGGGATTACAGCCACGTGCCACCACACCTATCCATTCCCATTTCTCCCATCTCATGAGAGATTCCTCAACTCTACGAGCAGACGAAACAGTCAAACGCCATAACAGAACTTGCCTTAAAGTGCCATTTCTGTGTCAGGGACAAGGTAGTGAAAACAAAGAGACCCTAAGTCCTCTAGCTATCTAAACAGACTTCAGAATATATAACTCATGCTAAGCAGAGGTCTGTAAGTAACCGAACAGGGCGGAGCTATCAAGAGATGGAAAGAGGGAACAGCTGTGCCGTAACCCAGCATCTTTGTGATCGAGTGCAGCTGAGTTCACTGACGCCAGGCACTGCTGCCATGCCATCTCTGCCGCTGTGCTAGTCTCTGCTGAAGCTGTAAGAGGAGTAAGATGTGGCCCATGCTTATGACAGGAGACAGGCAGTTTCTACTTGGGTGGTAAAGGCAGGAAATGTGGTCTGGTGTCTTTAGTTTTGATGGGTTTTTATTTGGTTCTTCAACTGCTGTGTCCCTAACACCTGGAAAAACTAAGCGTCGACTATCTAGTAGGTGTTCAATCGGTATGTGTTACATACATCAGATATTCAAGTAGTGTAGAAAGTTGAGATGAAGGGAAAGGGTTAGATTTTTAAAAAAAATAAATAAACAACAACCCCCACTTTAACAAGGAGAGGGATTTTCGAGCCTGGAGAGATGTCTCATCCAATAAAAGCCTTTCTGGACAAGTATGATGGTGTGAGTTCAGATCTCCAGAACCCATCAAAGAGCCAGGCACGAGGGCACGTGCTTGGACAGCTGCCACTCAGGTCATGGATTCCAGGCAGCCTGAGCTTCCAAGTGAGACTCTTGTCAAAAGGGCGGGTGAATCTCTGTGAGTTTGAGGCCATCCTGGTCTACAGAGTGAGTTCCAGGACAGCCAGGGCTACACAGAGAAACCCTGTCTATGGGGGAGGGGTTGTAGAGGAGAGAATGTTGTAAGAGCGATTTACAGAACACTGGATAGGACTTTTAATATGTACTAACAGCTAAAACCTGATAGGTTGGACAAGGAACGAGTGGGTGGGGAGTTACCTTAGAGAAGTCATACCACATTAAAGATTGGGATATAAAGAGTTCAAGTGTTTGCAAGGTGGTGGTGGCACATTTCTTCAATCCCAACACTTGGGAGGCAGAGGCAGATGGATCTCCATGAGTTTGAGGCTGAGTTTGAAGCCAGCCTGGTGTAGAAGAGCTAGGTCTAGGACGATTACACAAAAGAAAAACCTGACCTCAAAAAACCAAAAATACTAATACTAATAAAAAAGAAAGGAGGGAAGGAGGGAAGAATGGGTGTGGTAGTGCAAGTCTTTTTTTTTTTGTTTGTTTGTTTGTTTGTTTTCGAGACAGGGTTTCTCTGCAGCTTTGGAGCCTGTCCTGGAACTAGCTCTGTAGACCAGGCTGGTCTTGAACTCACAGAGATCCGCCTGTGCTGGGATTAAAGGCGTGCGCCACCATCGCCCAGCTGGTAGTTCAGGTCTTTAATCCAGAAGTTGGGTCTCAAGAGTTTGAGGCCAACCTGGGCTACACAATAAGACCCTGTTTCAAAAGACAAAACAATAAAAGAAAAACCCTGCATGTTTTAAATAGTAAAACAATTTAAAGATGACGGCCTTGTGACAAAGGCTACATCCCATTTCTAGGTCAGCTGTGAGTAAACTGTCTCAGGGCCAGGAAGACAGTTTGATGCTGACAGCAAGGGGGCTACACAGTGAAAGGGGAGACTGGACTACACAAGTTGTCCTCTTACCTCGATTGTGCCCCCCAAAATAAAAATAGAATATTTTCTGTAAAAAATTTCAAAACACATGTACCCTCTGCTTTCTGAGCTAAAAGTTGATCCGTTATAACCCAAGAGCCCACAAAACTTTAACATATTATGTTTTGCTGGACTAGAGAGATAGCTCAGCAGTTAAGATCACTAGTTGCTCTTCCAGAACACCTGGGTTCAATTCCCAGCACCCACATGGCAGTTCACAACTGTCTTTAACTCTAGTTCCAGGGGATCTGACACCCT